AACTTTTCCTATTTTTCTTAAGCAATATTGGTTATGGTTTCAAATATACGCAAAACAAGATATTTATTGTAAAAAATATATAATGTAATAAAATACCTTAATATATATAATATAATAACATTTAATAAATTCTTTAAGTCATACTGGTGTCGTTTTTATGACAAATAAAAGTAAACGTTCCCATGACCGACGAGCATGCATGATGAATGTCATGAAAGTGAATGAAGGAGAGATGTCAGGACTGTAGCAGAAGATCCGTGGTCTCTGTCTACCCCTTTGAAAAAAATAAATTTTTTGCTTTCATTTGAATGGCTCAAACAACAGATAGATCAAAATACATATTAATTTTGAATTATGCTATTATCAATGGTACTCTTTTAATAAGTTCATTAGGTAATTAGTGCTGCTTTGTTATTGTCGATGTATCTGGCAGAGAAAACAAAGATTGCAGACCACTAACAGAAGAATAAGTCCACGAACAACAAAATAATCGGAATTAATAATGGTCTTGAAAAGTTATTTCTTTAAAAGTCGGTTAAAAACAACCCTATACGTCGTTTCAGCATTAGCACTGCGTTCTTACGCGACCATGACTAACCAGTATATATTTAAATGAAACCATACATGGAGTCAAGATTAATCTTTACTTTATTCGTATTTATCGAAGTGTTAATGTGAAAAATAAAAGTCACTGAACATAAATTAATGTTTACATAATTAATTCATGAGCATTATAGAAATAGTCACAAAATATAGTTTTAATTTTTATACTCCTTGTAGTATTCCTGACATAAAATCACAAATAATCGTGACCCTACATTATTTAATGTTTTCGAAAATTAGAGCTAAAATAGTGTGATGTGGTTAATACAGTTTTGCAATTTTATGGTTGCGATATTGATATAACATAAAAATAAGTCAGTGGTGCAACAACCTTTTTTAGGTCTGGGCCTCAGATTTCTGTATCTGTTGCATGATTATTTGTAAATCATACCATAATCATAATAGGCAAGTAGAATCAGCCTTCTGTACACACGCCGTCAACTTTTTGTAAGGCAAGCCGGTTTTCTCACGATGTTTTCCTTCACCGTTCGAGCGAATGTTAAATGCGCACATAGAAAGGAAGTCCATTGGTGCACAGCCGGGTATCGAACGTACGACTTCAGGGATGAGAGTCACACACTGGAGCCACTATCCCAACACTGCTCATTGATATAACTATCGGAAAAAAATTCCTTCGGACGGTTTTGTTTTGGAATCTTTAAAAACAAATTTCGGCCAATTAGCCACCATAACTTGAGGCTTCAATCAAGGTACAACGTTTGTTACCTTTGTAATATACAAAGTAATAAGCGAAACAATTAATATTTCACAAAACAAAAGAATTGCAAGAAATATGGTATGTTAATGAAATAGTGAAGTAGTTAACGACAATAGCACTTGTATGAAAGGAAACGCTGTCGTGAGCTGTATCGTGGAAACTCGAGTTTCTGGCCTTGTTCCGGCACGATTGCACTAGTGGCTTTTCTTACACAATATGACTATTTTGAAGGCATAAAGCAGTTTATGCATCATTTTTTGTATGAAGAGATGCTTGATTAAAATACTTCACGCTGGCGATAAGTGGGTTAACATGTCTTTTTGGCTGTATGATTATTTTCTTTATGGTCTCTAGTTTACGTTATTTGACAACCCGTTTGTTTACATTATATGACTTATAAGAGGTTATTTTTAAAGTTATACTTCTTTTGGCACGTTAGGAAAAATGATGAGAGTAAATTTTTACGATGCGCGCGCCGTCACAAAAAACCGACACCCTGAAGTTAGCTATAGTCAACATTTTAGTTATTTTTCTATTGTTAGTGTCGTTTTATCTACAAACGTAGAATGAAATTTTTAAAAAGATTTTTATCTTGTTATGCCAAAGAAGTATAACTTCTACATAAGTACACACGCGTTTTTTGTATCTATCTAGTATCTAGTTTACAATAGCGAACAGCAGTCAAAGGACCGTATCATATCTGTGTCGGGTGTTTGAAGTGGACACGAACAACAGCTGAGCGGCTTCGTTTTAAAATTTATTTCCTTATTATTTATTGTGTTAACGATACATATTTAACTTATACAACTGAAATATTACACATGTCGACCTGTGTTACTCGTAACTAGAATACATTTTTATTTCATAGATAACTAGCTATATAGCTACCGAGCTGTTTAACTCAATGCTTCGAAAATAATTAAATTTAATAATTATTAAAAATAGATAAACAGAACACTAATATAAATTATAACGCTGGGGTCACCGGTACCATCTACCAGGCGCCAACTTAAATCATTAATTAGCGCCTAACTCTTAATATTTGTATATGTTTGTGCAAAAATCTAAAGAACCTCCACACTGATTATAATTGGAAGCTTTTTGATACCGTGGCGATAAACTTCATAAAAAAATTGTTTAAAACTTGTGAAATAATTCAAGGTGTCAACAATATCTTATCTCAAAATTTTACAACAAAATCAACAAAATGCTTTAATCAAGTATTGTTTGTAAATTATAAGTGTTCAGATAAAATCAGGTCAGACATTGTTTTCATTGCCAACTTTTTATTCGTTTTCGGATTTAAATTTTTTATTGTTTTCACTAATAAAACTATACAAAACAATCGTTTCGTAATGCCAAAAGTAATATTTATTATCTTAAATTGGTTATATACTTTTAGATGATCCAAAGGTTTCAGCCGGAAGTATGGAACTGTTTTTATCTGTGTGTACGGAAGTGCGTTGTGTAGGTCTTAATCATTCCAAATAAATAAGATTTGCGTTCCTATGGCAAACGTTTATAAGATAAAGAAACGAACAATATGCACACACATTTATCACTGCAAAAAAGTACACTCCAACAACAAATTATATTTAACTTTTAAAATTAAAATGTGATATAATACATACTAAGGAGATCAACATTCTTAAGGAAGCCGAACGTAACCGGAAGGACATTAAGCATTTAAGGATATTGTTTTTATTTTGTATTAAAAATTCTACCGTCACGTTTAAGCCCACACAATTACCCTACAATTAAAGTACCTTATCACTACAGGAATTCGGGATGCTTACACACATGATAAACGTTGCATGTGTCTAGCATAAATTTACAGGAAAACAATATTATAGCGTACTTACTTTGAACATCAGTTGCTCCAGAAACACTATAATATTAAGAAAATTTTAAACTTCGACCCAAAATAAAACAGGGTTATTAGAAATACAATGGTAATATTTTAAATTATTTATTGTTATAATCAATACAAAAGTAGGTAATTTATTTACGAATATCCTTAATAAGAACAGTAATTTTACGGAAGATACGAATTAGAAAAAAGGATATCCTGATTTTTTAAAAGCAATTTATATAGATGATCTACTCAATGTTTTAAGAAGTTTTAAGAAGTATTTTAATAACCCTGTATAACATTTAGTTAATTAAACTGAAATATTATCCAAGATGACCCGAACCTCACATTTACCAAACTAATAAAATAATTATTGTACATAACAAAAAATCTAACATTATTTTCAAATTTTAATATAAAATCCCGCTGACTCTTTATTGTTGTTTATCTATGCCAATTGACTGAAATGCTTGGTATATAAAACTACATTTACCTTCACACGCAACACAAAAATCCTTTAAAGCACACTCAATCAGCATTCAGCAAACCATATTATGTTGTTAATGAAACTAACTCAAAAAAATATTTTGACAATAATAATTTTCGCTCCAATTTCACTATACCACAGACTACGCTATTAATGAACAATTCGGAAACGGAATAGCCACAGAGTAAAAACACTCGAATTTCGACTAACCTTAATGACACTCGTGCTTGCAACGTGTTCGCTCTGCGAGGTAGCTGACTTGGTGTCTTGGTGTATACTGGCTGATGACACTTGGCCGCTCTTGACTTCGCTCATGCGCATTGCCGACTTGACCGAGATACTTCTCAAGGTAACTAAACACGATTATGTTCTATCGAGAGGGTTCATAAGTTTTTGCTAATGATTATTTTGATATCGATTTAATTGCGACAGTAATTAACCGTATAATCAGTTGCAATAATAAACGCTGTTTTTAATTGGATTACTGCGCTTATCATAGTGCGTATATCTAAAGAAACAGTTTCAACAGTAAAATATATTTTTTTTACAAAAGTCTTCTATGCCAAAGTTTTCCAAGCAAAGATTGCTTACAATCGAATAAAATAAAATGAACAAAACAACGTCCATAATAAAAACTCCCTCTGAGCTTTAAAGTGACAATCATTTGGGGCTAGTAGGCACCGAGACCCTCCCTTAAAAAAATATCAAGAAAATAGTATGCAGAAATATATCTGCCTCATGCCCCGATATCATTAGTATTTTGAACATAAGCAAAATGTGGAGAGACGTAGCCACTTAAAAAAATGGTATCGAATTGGTGTTATTGTTATTTGTTTTATTTTTGTTTATTATTAAAAATAAGGAACTGTTGTTTATGTATCAGTTAACAACTTATACTAACTTAACTGTGTAGTTACTAACAAAAAAAGTTTAAGCAAATATTCGGTTGTTACCTATACGATTTTGATAAAGATCCGCTTGTTGCACACGCAAAAATCGTGCGTATTACTTAATATAAAAAAACTCGTTTTGAAAAATGTTAAATGATCAAATTATTGACAACTAATCAAAGCAAAATAAAGAAACAAGATAATAGTTGCCAGGTTTAAAGGCCATAAAATCGGTTATTGTTACTATTTTCTTCATAATAGTGAGTCGATAATAAGGTGGATTAAAAGTACGCGTCGCGACATTATGGCGACAAGCGAATAGGATTGCTGGCGGGGGCGGGAGCGGGCCGTGAGAGGGGAAGCGACGCGGCGAGCGACGCGTCACGCGGCAAGCCCCAGTCCGCATCCGCGCGTTACTTAAGTCGCTATCGCCGTATAATCCGCTCCGCTATGAAAGGCAAAGGCAAAACCAAAGGTGCAAAAACCAAAAACATGGACAAACTTATCGCTGCCGTGCAGGCGAGGGAGTGTTTGTGGGATAAAAGTTATAGGGGCCACAGAAATCGCTTTAAATTGGAGAGATACTGGAATGAAGTGGCAGCAGAAGTCGGAACAACAAGTGAGTATAGGTGAACGCCCGAGCGAGTACACCGTCCGGCCATGAATATTGCGGGGCGTCAACTTTTCGTCGCTTTAAAAAATCGATGCTGTGGTTATGCCAGCGCCGTAAGACATGTTTACAAAGCGTTCCCGTCGTAGTGTTGTGTATTTTGTATAGATGGCGCTTTTTTCATAGACTACCTAATGCTTTTATCTTAAAATTGAATTTACTAAAGATTCACATTTCACAAGCTCTAACATGGGGTTTTAAACCTTTATTAAAACATTTACCTATTTCAGATAGAAATGTGATGTGATGTTTTGAAAATTTGTAATTTTCATACAAATACATTTTGACACAAGGGTATACGTATTATGTTAGCGTAAAATATTTTGTGAAACTCATGGTACAGCTACATAATTTTAGAAGCTTTTATCCGTTAATCGTGTTGTAGGGTAGGGCTTAGAATGGTAGAGTTTAATTTAGATCTTAATTTTTGGGATCACGATAGGTTATTCCGGATAATATATCCGTCACGAGTTTTTTTTAAATGACCCGGCTTTGTCCATCGTGAGAACTATATTTAAAACTATTACACATAGGTACTGCAATTGTAATTAATTTTTTTTGTTATTTTTTTTTTTTAATAAATTCGATATCTATAGTGTCTTCTACTAGTCTTTCTGTATTCTATGCCTTATAATTACAGTTATTTTAATTTGGAAACGATTCAAATATGTTCACTATATATCTAATCTAAAGAATACCCGATATAAGCTTCCCGCAAACGTCTATTCATAAAAAAAATCCTACCTGACTTGCCGTTCTTTAGATATATGAATCATTGAATTAATTAGTAAAGATAATTTAATGGATACGTCTGCTTAAGCTTTATTACTGAGTTATTCATATTGTTATTTAATATTGCGTAGTTACATCGCAATGATAATAAATATAAAAGACGGTCTCAAATATACACATTTACAATTACATTTTAAACAAACTCTAAAACATAAAATGCAATTTTTCATAGTTTCTTAATTTAGAAATTATATTCTAGGTCTAAACTGTAGGAAAAAATGGAAGAATCTCAAAGATCAATGTCGGAAAGAGATAAAAAAGAATCAAGAAGAGTCAGACTGGCCACATTTCGAGAAATTGAAATTTATTCACAATCAGTTTGTAGTAGATGAAGAAGAAGCAGAGGATACCGCTGAAGAAGTGTTCAATTCTTTAGATGAATCAATAAAAACACCGAAACTCGGTTACACAATGCGTAAAAAGCTGCTTATGAATAAACGAAGAATAATAGATGTTGATATGGATAAATTAATTGAGCTAGTGAGGACGAGAGAGATTATATGGAACAGGCAGTTGAAGGGTCATCATAATTGGTACAAACTAGATGAAGCTTGGAAGGAAATTGCCGCTGATTTGGGAGTTACACGTAAGTGCTTATGCAAAAAACATTTCCTTACGTATTTTTAACTTCTTTTTCTCAATTTGATTTGTTTAATATATGTAGTTTGTCAAGTAAAGGTTTGTGTCCCGCTCATTTCGCTGTCAATTGTGACAGTTCTTATTCATAAGACAAAAAGTATTTTGCGGTATGCGTGACCACACTGTGACAGAACATTTAGGGAGACTTGAGGATGTTTCATTCATTAAAAATTAATAATACTAGAGACAATCTACTTTCGTATTAAAATAATTTATAGGCCCTTTAATCTTGTTATATTCTAAATTTGTGCTATTAGTCCTACGTTACCCGTTAATTGCAGTTTTATTGTAGAAAATACTATTTTAAGTTAAAAAATTAATCATTGAATAAGTCAAATGCTTGATTTATTTAATGCTTCAAGCCAAATGACTAAGATACGAGTTCCGAAACAAATGTTTAAGATGGGACAGAAGTTTTACTACCCTATTAAAAAAATACCGGAATAATGTGTGAAATAGCTGCCCATATTGACCTCTTCTATAGAAGACTATAGTTAACGAAAGGTTATGTTACTAAACAATAAACTAAATTTTACAGGTGACGAAGCGAGGCTTAAATGGAAGTACCTACGTGACCAAGCGCGAAAGGAAATGCGGAAACAAGATTCTGACTGGGCGCTGCTACCTAAACTTCAGTTTCTTGAGAACCAATTCTTCGACAACGATGACGCTGAATTCGCTGATGATTCCTATAGTCAAGATTTCGATGCGGAGCAACCAAGCGATTACTACACCAATGCTGAACCTGAAACAGCGGCCGTTGATGAAGAAGTAGCCCATGATACCCCAGCAAGAGATGATGAGTTCGACGAATTTGATACCAAACCTATTATAATGGAAACTGACTTTTATGACGATGATGAGGAAATACAGAAGTGTGGTGAAACGACGGAAGTTGCCAAGGATGAAGATATAGGTTTCTTTAACAGTCTCTTGCCACATGTGAAGAAGCTTGGGCCGGCCAAGAAATTAATGCTAAGAATGAAAATACAAGAGTTAGTATATAATACAGTTTACAATACATAGAATACGTTATATGCGGTAGAGTTTAACTAGAAAATAAAATAAAAATTGTGTCGGGCTAACGCTTTTAACATCTCTTATTATTTCGAGTGGAAAATATCGTGTATATTTCCACTCCACAACGTTAATATAAACTGTTGCCAAGCCCGATCCAGGCATATCTATGAACATTTTTATGATTAAAAATCTTGGTTTTAATCAACCATAATTAGCAAAACCAATCAACTAATAATCATTATTATCATAATATGGACTTACCATATAGTGCCTATAGAACAGTGATTAAAAATGAGTTAGTTAATTTACCTTTTTTACCATAAGAATTTTAGAAAGACGGTACATGGCACAAAAAGGTTGGGAAACACTGCTACAGAGAGATCTTGTTATATAATCTAGAACGTTAGAATTATAGTATTGTCTTTGATTAACATAACTTTTATTCATTTAATAAAACACTATTTTGACCGGATTGAAGTTATGTATTATTATAAATTTACAACTATTTAACATAATTTTAAATTTATCCGACGTTTCGCGTGCTTTACAGCGTGCGTGGTCACGGTGACCATTTAAAATTATGTTAAATAGTTGTAAATTTATAATAATACATAACTTCAATCCGGTCAAAATAGTGTTTTATTAAATGTTAGAATTATATTTAATAGCGAAACGTAGCTTCACATTGTAAATATTTTCGGTCAACGGCATCTGTGATGTTTAGACCAATCATAATGTGGTCGGTGAGATTCTAGAACGAAATACGTGTTTTGTTTGATGGATCTAACGGTTTGACGGATCGTGTCATTTGTCTGTGATTGGACTACGGTTGACGAATCACAATCAAACGAAACGATGACGTCGTTTCTTTTGTTTTACAATCCCACTCCCGCGATATTTGGTTACACTTTCTGTAATCGCAAATCGTTTAATTGTACTAAATTAGCTTAGCATAAACATAATTTATTATGTGTACTGTTATAATAGTTGTAAATGTAACAATATTTTGTTAAAAAAACATGATATATTTTTAAAATTTATATTTAATTTATGTGGTTTACATAAGTAAGACTTGCACAATACAAATAACTAAAGTTGTTTATTAAGATTAAATTAAATATCATTCAACCATAACACAAAATGCAAAACTTATGTTATAGGAGTAACATTTAGGTTAATATTTATAAATTATACATCGTACTGTTCAGCTTACGCTTTCTTACGAGTGAGTTGATTAATGTGATTACTGATTAGAAAAGTAAGAAATTGCCTGCAGTCATAGCATGCTCTCAGTAAATTTATAGCCTAGAATTACTATGAATCCTAAAAAACTTCCTCTTGAGATAAGTGTAGACTAGAGAAAGATTTAGAGAGAGAAACGCATAGATTTTATCTCGTTTCTCAATCTCAATGCTTTATTAATTATCAGTAAAAAATGTAATTGGAAAAAGCTTAAAAAGTGATTGTGATGCTTAAAATTACTTTGTTTGTAATCTATAGCGGCCTTAAGTTAAACAATCAATTTTGAAACAAGTATATTTTCATGAAAAATGTAATTGGACGACGCTATCATCATAATAATCAATATAATTATAACTCGAAGTAAATACTTATAATGATTAATGATACATTTAAATAACGATAAAATATCTGTGAACATTCCAAATTCAAAATACGTTATAATTAAAGTGTTCAACTATTCAATTGATTTTTATTTACATTATACATCTATTTGACGAAAATCTAAACCCCCATTACGAACAATGAATCCCGTATGCTATTACTTTACACGTTTTTATATAGTCTCTGAGTCTTACCCTAAGTACCTAGTTGCTTAGTACCTATGTCAAAATTTGATGGAAGTGAATAAAATCTATAAATACTTGTGAAAAGTCAATCATAAAGGTGTTTCAGGTGCTTATATAAAGTTCGATTGTCTACGATTATTTTATTTAGCAATTTCACCTAGCACCATTCTCAGACTATGACTGGTAAAAGAAAATTATAGGAAAATAGACTAAAGAATATTTTTTTTAAATTTATTGAACAGTCATTTGGGATATTTTAATTAATTTTAAATAAACAAAGCAGGAAAACGCATGCATTAATGGAGGTATTTATGTGTTATATTAAAAACGATTAAACTATGAATTGAATTTACCGGACCTTGGTTAAGTGATTAGAGTTTTAGTTAGACCTTGAACGTACGAATGTATACAAACTACAGAGGAGTAACATAATTTTCACTTATGACAACCCTATAAATCTTCTTTATTACGACATCAAAGCTTTTCTCGGTCATTCCTCAATTAGAAACCGTAAAGCAAACTCAAATAGGGTTGCCACGCAATAAAAATAAATCTTATTACTATAAGAAATAAGATTAGTGTTGTATATTTATTGCTTATGTGGTAGAGAGTAATAGAGTATCTTTGGTATTAATTTAACCGTACTACATACCTAAAAATTCCCATTCATAAAACCTTTTTCTCTAATCTTCGAAGATTTGTGTGAAACAAATGGCTGCTTTGGTAACGTAGAGGTAGGTATTTTGGTCGCAAATATGATAATGCAAATAATTTCCTTCTCCGATTTCTTCTTAATAGTGTTTTATAGTGGTTTTACTTTTAAAATATTATTGTCTTGTTTCATATTACGCAAAAATTGTACTATGATATATTATAGTTTGAACGTTCAAAGAGTCAGACTCTGTAAATACTCAGAGCTCGATTGCACTACGGCAATCAATATCTATATAATATAAAAATATTTAGTCAACAAAACTATCCCTTACAACAGTATCATGAAATAATTTTTGAATAATATAAAAATTAATGACAACCCTACGTCCAGTGCATAACCGAGTATAAGCATCAAAACAATCAATATTGATGTATTGTTCATATTCCCAATACGTCTTATTCGGAACACTAAATTGGGGCAGGCTTCCGTAACTTGTAAATAAAAAATTCCTACCAAAACAAATTAAATTTCACAAAGTCAAATTTGCAGTCTTTACTCGAGTTGACTTCCACCACAGGACTTATTGATAAGAAAGAGCATTTGAAGACAAATTTCAATGGTTGCCCTAAGTTAGGAAGTTTGTGAATGTTAAATGCTTACTAACTTGCAAGTAAGGCTCTAGTATATTCTACTACCGTCACCAGATAATCTCGCCATACTTCGTTCTGTAATAAATTTGCGCCCGCGCATATCTCCTGCATAAATAGGCACAATTTATACTATAGTCGTCCTTGACAGTGTAAAAACTTTCGAATTACTATGTGGCGTCAAAGAGTGGCGTACACCTCGTATATAATGCATTTTCTATAGTATAAGTTACAATCTATGTATTCTAAATTCAATTACGATGAACATACATTTTACAAAAAATAAAATACTTATTACACTTCCAACTTTGGTTTCTACCTACTAGAGTAAAAAAAAACTTGTTCAATAACAATGCGGATTAGGTACCTACCCGATAACAGCTTAACAACGCTTTTTTTTAAATGATCTGCCCAAATTCTGCTGGTTCGTACGTTACGAATGAATAAGGTTAGAGAGTTTTCCGATCAACATCATTTTAATTTTGATTTAAAGTCGCTGACGGTACGGGTGCCTTTGCTAATCAATGCAAGGTGTCGAGTAAATGATCATTGAATATTTTTAATGCGTAAACCTCCAAGTAGTAAATCAAAATGTAAGGTATCTAACATAAGAGATAGCAATGAGCTATGCAATCGGCAATAAAACCTCCTCAATTAGGGCCACAGTGAAACAGTATTTTGCGCGTGCACCATTCATACAATTGATTGTTTTACATCCACGCTCTTGGCCCAGATTCAACTTTCAGTCTTCGGTTAAACTAAGCTTTAGTTAAGAGCCTTTTGTTTATCATTAAATACTTTTTTGAAGAATCCAGGATTTATAAAAAAACACTATGCTAATTTGATCTTAAGGTTCTAATAAATTAGTGTTTAAGTTCCCTATGATGTTTTATACAGCCAGTGTTATACATACATATTTAACACTGGCTGTATTATTTAAGAATAATAAATAGATTAGCATTTTGACACCTGTAGCATGATCACAAAGAGTACTGACAGTGCCACATACTTTTACAAATACAAATACAACTATCGACTAACATCTAATAAAAATCCAACTAAAATGTATTTATTTTTATTCCTTGCTTTTGATTGCTAGGTTTCTTAAAAGATATTATATTAATGGTACAGGTAACAAAACCTATCATATCAGTTGTTCCTAACTTTGTGTCACATTGATTTAAGCCTAGAACTGTATTTTCTAGATACTAGTATACATTGTTTTATTAAGCCATTTTAATAAATTATTAAGTTAGCCTGTATGACTTCAAATTACTCCCCTTATAATGGTTAATTTTTATTTACTGGCAATACTAATATCCATGACAGCGACGCTCTTACCAAGTTACCAGCCAAGAAAAGTATATGACACTGTAATATTGTTAAGTGATTGTTGCGAAGATTAATGTAAAACAGTAAACCTTATACTACATGTACGATATGAGTATTATGGCGTGATAATCTTAGTAGCAGTTTCGTAGCATGCACGATTTGTTTATAAATCGATTTGGCTAAGTTCGCGTGCGCTATTATACACGTGCGATGAAAGACATAGGTATTCGGTATACCGTAGATAACTGTAAAAGTATTATTATCTAATTTAACGACGGTCTTTAAATTTATATAGTTCTAAACAATTCAGTCAATAATAAATAAGTATTTTATTTTGCTTTTTGATGTACCTAAATGAAAATTAAAAGTTTTAACATCACTGCTTAAAGCACACAATGCTATAAGGGTTATGAAAAAGTCAAATATAACTTTCAAGAAATTTGTATCACTAATTTCTGACGATAAGCCAGCTTTGGCATTAACTTTGTCACATTGACATTAGGTTCATCTCGATCTATGAGACATCCCAATTTAGAGATTAAGTGTAAGTATATTAATTGCGCT